GCCACTCGGCCAGCCCAGGACTCTAACCTCTTCACTCAACACCCTCTTTCTGGGTGATCCAATTCAAACTACTGCTTCAACTACTACCAACACTGAAGTTTCCCACAGACTGAGAATGTAGGTAAAACTCGTAATGCAATGCTTCACTATTTTTCAGCTTCTCACTAAATAACAGCCCAGCCTACAGCTCCACAAAAATATACTCAATATCCATCCAACTGCACACTCAATCTCCCCACCTGGCAGGCACCTCAAAGGAAACAGAACCAAGTCCTTCCCTTCATTATGGTATTTTCTGCGCCCATGGCATTGCCATACCTTCAGTTTTCAAACCAGTAACCTAGGAATTATCCTATACTCTCCTTCCCCCTTAGCCCCAATCTCTCCGAGTTTCACAGGGTCTACTTCCTCAATTACATCTGTACTTTACTCCCAGTGAGACTGCCACTGTCTTATTTTAATACGTTTTCATTATTTGTATGGATTACAGAAGAGGCCTACATTGAGATTCTTCTGCCTCTTGTTTGATCCACCACCAATTCTTCCTCCAAAATGCTGCCAAAGGGCAAAGAAAAAAACTGGACTTCGAGAGCACAAATGACTCCTCTACAGTCTGGGATAAAATTCAGTTTTCTGAGCTCACCACACAAGGCCCACCATGATCCGACTTCACCATCATCTCTTGCCATGCCTCTCGCGCTCTTCCTAAAACGCTTCACTGGCACTCCTGCCTCTATGGAAACTCTGCCATCTGCCTTGAACATCCACCCTTCCTACCTCTGCCTGGTCCTTAACCATGAAGGTGCATCAAACTCACCAAAGAAACTTAAAAAAAAAAAAAAAGTGAGATACTACTGCTAAAATTGAGATTCAATTTTTTTTTTATAAGAACCCTCCAGCAGTGATTCTGATAAAAAGCTAGATTTTAGAACTACCCAGTGCAACCCATCCAGGTGTCATCATGTCTGACCCGTCCTCTCCCTTCCAGTCTGTCTTTGGTGACTTTCTTCTCCGTCATCTCAGGACTTTGCATATGTTTCTACCACTGCACTTACCGTGCTGGGCTGAGCCGTTTACTTATCCGCCTCCCAGCTCTACCACCTACCTGCTCCATCCTCAGCGGTTCTGAAACTGTCAGACAAGGGTCTGTTTTTGTACATCATTTTTATTCCAGTGCTTGGTACTTATCAAGGGATTAAAAAAAATGTCTTAAATGTTTGTTTAAAAAAAAAATTACCTGGGCTAACAGCTTACAGAGAAGTGATCTTCTCAGTGGAGATTCCTGGGTTTATTTGTGAATGGGTGAGGATTTGCATTCACATGTACCCCGACTCTGGCCCAGAAAGAACATCTCTGAAATAAGAAAAACAAGACACTGATGAAGTGGTTTTTATACTCCGTCTCATCTGAGTTTCACACCAATCCTATTAAGTAGAGCCAAATGTTACCATTTGATGAAACAGCTCACACTCAGAGATTAGATAACTTGCCTGCCGGCACACAAGAAAAGAAACGGTGCAGCTGGGATTCCGACTCTACAGGGAGGACCAGTTCCAAAGAGAATTGGCCCCACTCAGAGGCTTCGTCACAACTTCCCCGAACGAGCAAATGCAGGTAAAATCTGCCGTAGGACCGTCGGAAACTCATCTCTGTCACTTTTAACTGCAAACTTTCTCCTGGCCGTGGGGTTCTTTCCCTTTCAAGCCCCGTGCCCGGTTCCGTCTGGACCGTGGCAGTGGCAGCCTTTGGCACCTCGTCGGTGGAAGGTGGGGAGGGCGGGCTCAGGTAGCCATTCCGGAAAAACAATCTCTCCAAAGGGAGAGACCCCGGGGCAGGAGGAAGGGAGGGGCGCCGAGAGGTCGAAGACTTTCTACAGCGAGACCCCCCCCCCGGCCACTCACCCCCAAGAACACTACGCAGTGCCCAGACCAAAAATACCGCAGTGTAGACAACCAGAAGGGAGGAGAGGGGGGTCCCAGAGACCGGGACCCCGCGGTGCAGGAGACACCACAGAGCGACCCGCCAGACGCTACCCGCGACGCTCCCGCCGGCCGCGCTGCGGCCCTCCCACCCTCCAGCCGAAGGCGGCCGAGCTCGCGCCGCCCCTCCCCCACCCGCCCGTACCTCACGCGCCGCGACGGTTACTCGACGCAGCCGCGCGCGCGCTCACGCCCGCCGGGCCTGCGACCTGGAGCAACCCCGCTCTCCTTACCCAGCTTGGCCTCACGTCTGCCGCTAACCCACCTCCATGCCTTCGCTCAAGGGTCTGCCGAGAGCGAAAGAGCGGCTCCACAACCGGACAGCCAACCTATGGGCGCCGCGAGCCACGGCCCCGCCCCCAGCGCGCCTTCGGCCCTCCGCAGGCCCCGCCCCAGCCGCCTATTTCTTGTTTTGGTCCGTCGACGGGCGGGGCGTGTGAAGAGACTGAGAGGCTGAGAGGGCGGACGCTGCCGTCACTTCCGGGCTGCCGGGCGAGACCAATCAGGGGCATCCGCGCGGTGAGAGGGTGGGGTTTGCCGTTGAGGAGTGAACACGGCCCCGCCCACTACTTCCTTCTGGTGGGGGCTGCTCCCCGACGTGTCTATCCCGGGTGACTTAGGCTTACCTACCCTCCTGCGTTTTCCGTCTTGCTCTTTTCTGTTTTCAAGGCCTCAGGTGTTTCACCAGTGTGTCACAGACAGCGAAGGAATATCTTTTTCCCTTCAAATATCCTTTAAAGACCTAAAATATAATACGTAATCAACATGTAATAGGAGGAATAGATATACTTTGTAGTACAGAAAAGGGATGCATTATTGTAAAGAAAAACAATACAGAATATAACAGTAAAACTATCACCGCAGAAAGCTGGCCCATTTTTTTACACCTACTACTGACTCTGATGATGAAGCATCACCACTAGTTTTTTACGCTTCTAATCTAATAGAGAAGACAGAAAAACAAAATAATTCCTGATACTGATAAATGCTGTAAAAGAAAGAAGAGGCTGAGATGGGCTGATCCAGACAGGTTGGTCTGCAAAGGTCTTACCCAGGAGAACCTCGGAGGAAGAATGAGGAGCAGGCCAAGGAAGGATGGGAGTCAGGCTCGTGCAGGAACATTCCAGAACAGGGGTGGGGCTTATTGGGCAGTTGGATGACCGTTATGGTAATTTCATTCCAGAACAGGGGTGTGGCTTATTGGGCAGTTGGATGACGGTTATGGTAATTTCATTCCAGAACAGGGATGTGGCTTATTGGGCAGTTGGATGACCGTTATGGTAATTTAACCGTCGTGGGCTTGAAGTTAGAGCAGTTGGAGCACGAGGCAAAAGCCAATGAGTCTATTCCTCGCTTCTAGATTTTTCTACCCTGTGAAATAGGCCCTATTCAAACGAAGTGTTTAAATAAAACTGTTTGAAACTTAATTGTACTATAAATTGTATATGTACCCTTTTTAAAATCATATTTTTATGTAATGCTTTTTAATATAAAGATCTGGATGGATATTGAAAACATAATTTTTAAAGAGAGATAAACATGGCAAAAATCACCTGAATTTCTATTTTCCTGAGATAACCATTTTTATGTATATCCTTGTAGAATTTATTACATACGTTTTTATTAAAGTAGATATGAAAACATGTAATAAAGTGCCAAGCTACTCACTACAGTGTAAGAAACAGAATATTACCCTGAATACTGAACAGAGGGATTTCTCCATTAGACACAGTAGCTTGGGTTAGGGACACATGAGTGTTTTAACTTTCTATAAAAATCAGAAAGAAGTGAAATTTTAGGTCGAAAATCTTTTAATACTTAACATTAATATATTTGTCTTTATAACAACATGGTCATAAAATATGATTTTTGATATTTTTAAGGAGAAAAGTGCCCACTAAAGTCATAATTTCATCTTGCCTTGAGCCCTCTATGGGTCTTTCTTTATACTTGTACCAAATTTGGTTTTAATCTGTAAGCAATATATTGTTTTGCATGCTTTTTAACTTTATATTTATGAAATTATACTAAACACATTTTCCTTCAAGTTGCTTTTTACATTCACCATTATGTCCCAAGTTTGATCTGAGCTATAGTCAGGTTATAGAGTCCAAATCTTACACAACTTGAGGGGTGTTCTTAAAAAGTTCTCACTAAAATTTATAAATACAAAATTGGGAATAAAATTGATATTTATTTGGAATGAGTGGCACAAATTACAAATTTTTTAAATGGACAAAACCCACAAATATAAAAAATCCAGAAAAAATAACCAAAATATTTTTAAGCTGCAAACACAATTCTGTAAAAGTTACATATTTTGGTTTCATAAATTACCTCGACAATGAGGTTTAAGATCATTTTCTGTACAGAGAACACAAAGATAATTCAGTCTTTTCTCTAGCAAGGTTGATAACATTTTATTAAGAGTTTATAAAAGTTTCAAATTAATGATTTCATTGGATAATATCATGTAAATTTTTAGGATTACCAAATTAAAGAAAATTCCTATCAAGCTTTTTCTCACATATGAGCTATAACATTTCAGAGCAGAGAAAGATTCTGGTGGAGAGATTGAATCTAAAGACTTCGAATTGATGAAACCTTATTACAAGCTTGTCATAGATTTTGCCATTTTTAGATCCATATTATGAGTTTTATATGTCAGTATTTTATATACAAATTTTAGTGCTTTTTCCAGTTTGATCAGTGCTTTTTCCAGTTTGATCATGTGACTCATATATCATCATTACTTGGATTATCAACTATCCAAAAACTTATTACTCATTATTTCTATTTGAAATGGATCTCTTCTAATAAATTACTGAGTGTTTAAATAATTTCTCTTGATTTTGTCATCATTCATCCTCACTTTTGTCTCATATTCCACTAATTTTTGTCAACTTTATATAACATATATAATTATACACAATAAAATACACAGATTTTAAGTGTATGGTTTTAATAACTCCATAATTTCAGGTAACCATCTCCAATCAAGCTATAAAACATTTTCTTCACCCTAGAAAGTGCCCTAAGGCCGTTTTGCAGCAATCCCCCTTCTCCACTCCCCGGATGGAACCACTAATCTGATTTCTATCACCACAGATTCATTTACATTGTTCTAGGACTCTACATCAATGGCATTATACATCATGTACTCTTTTCTCTGTCTTTTGTTCAACATAAAGTGTGTGAGGTTCCTAGATGTTCTTGCATGCATCAGTGATTCATTTTTGTGTGTGTGGAATAGGATATAATTAAATGAATATACCACAATTTTTTTTCACTCATCTACTAGGTGGATATTGGGTTGGTTTCAAGTTTTCTATTATGAATAAAGCTGTTATGAACATTACTGTATAAGTCTTTTAATGAACTATGTTTTCATTTAATTTGGATAAGTATCCAGGAGTGGAATTTCTGGATTAGAGTAGGTTTGTCTTTAACATTATGAGAACTAACAAGCTATTTTCCAAGGTGATTTTACCATCTTACATACCTATCAGCAATGTGTAAGACTTCTGTTTGCTCCACAATCTTGTCAACGCTTCCCATAGTGAATCTTTTAAATTTCAGTCATCCCAATGGGTTAAATGTGTACCTCATTTATATTTCCTTGATATCTAATGATATAGAACATCTTTTTTTTTTTTAAGATTTTATTGGGGAATTGGGGGAAGGGAACAGTGTTCGGGAACTGGGGAAGGGGAACAGCCAAGTTGTTGTCCTACAGTCTTAGTTGTGGAGGGCGCAGCAAGCTCAGCTCCCAGTCCAGTCACGCCGCTCAGCTCAAGGTGCTGTGTTCCGTTGGTTGCGGGTGGGTGTAGCCACTATCTCATGCAGGAGTCGAACCAGCAGCCTCCTTGTTAAGAGCACGCGCTCTATCCCCTGAGCCATCGGGTGGCAGCTCAGCTCGAGGTGCCGGGTTCAGTCTTAGTTGCCGGGGGGCATAGCCCACCATCTTGAACAGGCAACCTTGTTGTTAGGAGCACATGCTCTCATCAGCTGAGCCATCCTGCCACCTGTTGGCAGCTCAGCTGGGACACAGCTCACTGGCCCATGTGGGAATCGAACCGGCGACCCTGTTGCTCAGAGCTCGCACTCTTGAGCAAGCTCTTAACCAACTGAGCCACTCGGCCAGCCAGATATAGAACATTTTATTGTGCGCTTATTGGGAATTAGTATATCTTCTTTATGAATTGTTTGCATGAGTCCTTTGACCATTTTTTTTTAAGGACTTTATTTTCTTAGCGCAGTTTTAGGTTCACAGCAAAATTGAGAGGAAGGTACAAAGATTTCGGACATTCCTCCTACCCCCACATATGCATCGCTTCCCCTGTTATCAACATTCCCTGCCATAGTAATAGGTTCATTACGATTAATGAGCCTACATTGATACTTCATTATTACTCAGAGTCCATAGTTTACATTGCAGTTGCACATTCAGTGACTTTGGACAAATGTATACTATGTCTCCATCATTATAACATCAAAGGACTTTCACTGCCCTAAAAATCCTGTGCTCTGCCTATTCATCCTTTGTGAGACTCACATAGAAATTCTGACCAACAGGACTGCAAGACAATTTTACGTGGTTTTCAGCCATTAAGTTTGTGGTAATTTATTATGGCAGCATAGAAATTTAATACAGATTTACTTAAAATTGAAAATGTTCTGTTTGCCACCGGCATAGACATGGAATTAATTTTTATATATTGTTCTTGTCTCTAGCAATTTTACTTAATATATTAATGCCAACACATTCTCTATAGATTGTTCTAGATTTTTCCTTCGCAACTAAATCACCTGTGAATCATGGCAGTTTTAGATCTTCATTTCCAATCCATGTAGCTTTTATTTACTTTTCTTGCTTGACTGCACTGGCTGGATAGTGCTGGGAAGTGTTGAGAGTAAGCAGCCTTCTCTTTTCTAATCTCAAAGGGGAAAATTTCAATGTTTCACTTTTAAAAAATAATGTTTGCCATAGGTTTTCGTAGATACCCTTTATCGGTTGAGGAAGTTGCCTTCTAGTTTTATTGGATGGATTTGGAATTTATCAAAAGCAATTTCCTGGGCCAGCCAAGTGGCTCAGTTAGTTAAGAGCTCGCTCAAGAGTGAGAGCTCTGAGTAACAGTGGTTCGATGTCCAGCCCTAGCTGAGCTGCCAACAGGCAGCAGGATAACTCAGCTAAAAAGAAAAGAAAAGAAAAGAAAAAGCGATTTCCTTATTTTTTGGCCCTGCATATAGTTTTTATTCATTATTAACATGGCAAATTTTACTGATGGGTTTCCTCCCCACCCCCCCACCCCCTTCTTTTTTTGGTGGCATGAGGGGAACAGGAGCCTGGGACAGGGTTGGA